AGGGAAAGAAACTGACTGGCAAATAGGAAGAGAGCTAGTTTACCCAATAATTTTTAAAACAAAGACATTATCTATAGGGCAGTATAGAAAGGTTTCTATATTCTTTTAAGTTTTAAAAATGGAATAACAGCCACATTGAATGCATTACTAGATATTTTTTTCTTGTTTTATTAAATGTAAGCTCATTTTCCATTATAATATATGAGTAGAGAATAAAGGCCTGAGGAAAAAAATTTGGTGGCTCGAAAAAAAAATAAGTCTTTCTTTTGGAAGGAATTTTAGAAACCCAAAATGAGCACAAAATAACAAATGCCAAAAGAATAAACCACTTTGTTTTTATTTCTTTAAGAAGAAAAGGATGAGTATACTATTGTAAATTTTTAAGCATGGAATTATTGCTGAAATTAGTAGATGCTTCTGCAATTAAGAAATTAAAATAGAATCTCTGAGCTTATATAATAGGGTTAGAACTCATACTGTTTGCCCTAATTATGGACAGCAGGAGAAATGATTATAAGACTTTCAATATAGTCTTAAAGTATTTACACCAGACATGAACAAATACACAGTAATACCATATTCATTTAATGTTTGTTAGTTATAGCCTTTATCTTAACTCTTTAGTATGAACTATCCTATTTTGTATCATGGCAACAGAAAGATACAATTTTAAGTGCTACAGCCCTGAGTAGAATAAATTTTGATGATCAATGAAGCTGCCTATCATTTTTTAATAGGTACTACTTTTTCCTCCAAATAATGTATAAATGGGCAAATAATTCTACAGCCCACACACAGAGATAGAAGCAAACCTTCCCAACCTTCTACTCTACTTTCCATTGGGATCAGTTGATCAGACTTACATATATCAGGCAATAGTAATATAATTTTTTAAACATATAAGCAGACATCAAACCATACCAAAAAAAATCATATAGGAGACTTGTATCTGTGGTAGGAATTAGAAATGTGTTTACAGAAGTCTATAGAACTTTAAGAAATCTTATTATCATAATTCCCTCTTTTTTCACTTTCTTTGTCTTAATCTAAAGATCCCAGGCCAAGGGGATTGAGTGATTGGCCCAAAATGACACAGCTATGTAACCAGCAGTGCCAGAGCCTGAAGGCCATATCCCCTATCCTGTGTTCTCTACACTAATCACACTGACTATAGGAGTCCACAGAGTATTTATTCAGGGTAATTGCATAAATGGGAATCAGAAATCAATCTTCCTTCTCTACACTACTCTACTTGCCAACACAATCCAAACATATCCAGCAGTCTTAGGTTCAAAAAAAATGCTGCTTAACTATTCTGATATTAGCCTTTTTGACTTCCCTGTTTACAGGTTTTTCCATGTATTTAGTTGCAAGAGAAAAAAGATAAAATTGTAAAGAGCCTAGAGTAAGAGTGCTACAAAAGTTGTAGGTTAAGAAGTAACAGTCCTGAAAAAGCCCAAATGAGAATGATTAAATTTGTTGACTATAGTCTACACAGAGAGGCTCTAAGTAAGGAATTTTATGTTTTCATAAATAAAGCAGGTTGAAAATAAAAAAGTATCATGGAGCTTTTTCTTTCTCAAGCTTTTGTGAAACACTAAGCACTTAGCAGCATTCAGTAGGACAGTGGCTCCACAAGTGGGACAAGCACCAGTGTCCAGGAGCATGAGGGGCATTTTCACATAGGCAGGAAGCAACAACAGTAGAGAACAACAAAGTTGTTCACCCACTATTTTGAAAGCAACCAACTATCCTTTCATTGTTATATCTTTCTGCCAAGTGTCAAAATCTTTTATTATGTCATCATAATTTTATTTATGATGACAGTATTATACTTTTAAAATTGCCTTCTCATCAATAAAATATAAACTTGACAATGTTATGTCATACTCTCTAGAATGCTTTAATTTTACTCATGTGCAGAACACAACTAGACTATCTAACAATTCAGACTGTAACAGTCTTTAAGTCTTGAAAGACTTTCTTAACGAAAATCTATTTTCAACCTACAAATCTTAAGTCTGAACCTAATAAACACTACTGAAGAACAAATACTCTGGAGTGGCTCTTGAACAAAACTAATCAAATGGAACAGTATTATTCACACAGGCTAAGCAAGGTGAAATGTCTGTTTTTGAGGCAATATGGCACTAACTCTGGACTCAAAATGTATTGGATTCATATCTACTACTTACTACCTCATTTTCTTTCCCTTTGTTTTTTTTAAAGAGACAAGGTCGTGCTATGTTGGCCAGATTGGTCTTAAATTCCCAACCTCAAGCAATCCTCCTGCCTCAGCCTCCCAAAGTGCCAAAGTGCTAGCATTACAGGCATGAGCCACCATGCCTGGTCCCTGACTTTCATTATCTGTGAAATGGGACTAATAGTGGTATTTATTACTGTGAAACTTAAGACACCTTTTTTTTTTAAAATAGAGACAAGGTCTCACTATGTTGCCCAGTTTGGTCTCGAACTCCTGGACTCAAGCCATCCTGTCTTGGCCTCCTGAAGTGCTGGGATTCCAGGTGTGAATCACCACACCCAGCTGGACACATTTTGAGTAACAATAAAGCAACTAATACTTTACTGAGAGCTTACTCTGTGCCAGATGCTGCCCACTGGCTGCACATCAGCTTGTACACATGAAGTATTTGGTATGATTCCTGGCACATGCTAAACAATATATATATTAGCTAATGTTATTAATCATTACTATCCTAAGAATCATGAATAAAGTTAACAATGGTTTAATATGGATGCTTGAGACAGTTATGGGGCAAGAAGGGCATCTACTAAAGGTGCTAGAAATCTGGCTGTTAAAGACTATCTTGAGAATGCAATACCAATCATTTTTGGAAAGACTGTTATTTCACCAAATGTTTCTTGTAATAAAAAAAAATTAACTGACTTTGAAGTTAGCTAGACTTGAATAATCATCCAAATAATCCAAAGCTCCTGTTTGCCTTGTGTAAATTTCTTTTATCTGTCTGAGCACCAGTGACCTCATCTGAAAATGGGAACAATGGCTATCTTGTTGAGATATTGAAGAATTAGAGATAATACAGTATGAAAGCAGTTACCATAGTGCCTATGAAGATTTTGTTGTTTCCAAAAACATAGAGATCAGATCTCCTAAAACATTTAAAAAGAATCTAACAAAATAAGGGTCATCAAATAGCTATGCCAAGAAAAAAGAATACGCTAAATGATTATGACAACTTCTTAGAGTAATAAGTTATAAAACATTAATACACTAAGACTTTTTAATGTCTATCATATGAACTGAAATAGCCATGTAATCTAATTAAACTGAACTATCATCCCAGTATTCCATCAGCAGCTCAAATCTGAAGAAAATACAAGAAAAGCTCTCTAGTATCACCAATAAATGTTAAGTTAGCCTCAGAGCAAAAGAAGAAAGTGGTATATACCCAGCTGGCCAATATCCAATTCCAACAACACAGAAAGGTAGTCTCCAAAGCCTCAAAGTCCCTAGGCATAGGAACTAGGAAACCCAAGCAACAACCTAGCTCCACATGTCTGTAGTGCCCTTCTTAAGCCCCATTAAAACGCAGGAAGTGGGTATGCAGCACTCTCAAGGGTATTTACCGCTAAAGGAAGAAGCAAAGAGGAGGGTCAAATATAAACTCAGAGTCCCGGACTGCAGCAAGAAGAGAGGCTCACTTAAAGGAAGCAAAGCTGCATTTCATGTTCTATTCCTAGTAACTGCTATACTAAAGTCTTAAGACACCTCTGTCATAGGCAAGGATGATTACAAGGAAGGCATACATCAGATTTCTACTCACCACCTTGAGAAAAGGATAACCACTGATGAAAACTGTTTGCAGCAGAAAAATAATTATACTAATTATCTTTTTAAAATTCTTATTTAATCCCTTAATGATTTTAGTTCAGTAAATTCTTGAACCTTTTTCTTCTGGTTTACTTACTTTTAAAGCTAATGTTATCTAGAAATGTCTACCTAGAATTTCTTATTTTGCCAAGAAAACAGTTCTCTTTCTACCCCATAATCTATTCAAAGCCTAGAATATGGAAAGAAACAGCCATCATCCAGGGCAGAAAGAATCCATGAACATGGCTGCAAAGTGACAAAAACAAATAAAGCCTAATCATAAAACTCTAAATAAGGCCAAGTGTGGTGGCTCACCCCTGTAATCCCATTGAGTTGGGAGGCTGAGGCAGGAGGATGGCTTGAGAGCAGGAGTTCGAGACCAGCCTAGGCAATATATTGAGACCTGGTACCAACAAAAATTAAAATTTTTAAAATTAGCTGAGGTTACAGTCAGCCGTGATTGTGCCACTGCACTCCAGACTAGGAGACAGAGCAAGATCCTGTCTCTAAAAATACAAATCAATATATCAAACTCTAAATAGGCTAATTATAAAGCATACACTAGAACTACAGATCTCTAAAAGCTTACCACAAATGTAAGCCTTGTCCTAGCACTAAATCTGGCTTCAAAGGTTTGCAGACAGTCTAATATAAACTTCCAAATGACTTCTAATTATTTATACAGAAGAAAACTTACATATTTAAACATACCCCTTTTAATTATGAATAATGAATGCATAATTATAAATTAATTATAAAATGCTAGTCTTTACACACAATATTTGGTCAGAGCAATAAATGCTTGACACCTGGACTTGTACAAGGAAGACACAGGGGTATATAATCGCTACCCATGGGCATTCTAAAATATACTTGGAAAATGTTTAAATGTTAAACAATGTTTTAATAGTCATTCAAAGAAACAATAGAAGAGTTATTTTTAAATAACACACAATTAGCTTCCAAATGAATGACTCAGTAAATGCCCCTTATGTAAAGGGAAAAGGGAGAGAGCTGGCAAAGTTGTGGTTAGAGAAGCATTCCCAAGAAAGCAGAAAGTGCATGAGGTCTCCGAAATCACAAACATTAACTGTAAAACAGTTAAGAGCTTACTAATTTACTCGTTTTCAGAGAAATACAGCCTGAGATGGACAGCAGTAATTGCAAAGTCATTGCTCCTCTCCTAAGTCAAAGATACCGGAGGATGGTCACCAAGGATGGCCACAGCACACTTCAAATGGATGGCGCTCAAAGAGGTCTTGCGTATCTTCGAGATGCTTGGGGAATCCTAATGGACATGCGCTGGCGTTGGATGATATTGGTCTTTTCTGCTTCTTTTGTTGTCCACTGGCTTGTCTTTGCAGTGCTCTGGTATGTTCTAGCTGAGATGAATGGTGATCTGGAACTAGATCATGATGCCCCACCTGAAAACCACACTATCTGTGTCAAGTACATCACCAGTTTCACAGCTGCATTCTCCTTCTCCCTGGAGACACAACTCACAATTGGTTATGGTACCATGTTCCCCAGTGGTGACTGTCCAAGTGCAATCGCCTTACTTGCCATACAAATGCTCCTCGGCCTCATGCTAGAGGCTTTTATCACAGGTAATTTTGTCTTTGTTCTTAAAAAAAAAAAACCTACAGGTGTTTGGAAAGGGTATAGTCAATTATAAGTAATATTGTTATAGAATAATTTATTCATATTAACAGCAGGTAATGCATAAGATTGAAAAGAAACAGCTTAGCACCAAAAAATAGGAGAAATGCTTAAGGAACCTATCTCAATGCCGAAATTTTACTTACTGAAACAACTTAAATAAAAAGGGATCAATCAGTATAACACTAAATTGCAGAAATTTCCTATAACAAAAAAAAAAAAGAATTAACAAAAGGTTTAAAAGGAGTTTCTCACTGAAGCTAATCAGTTTGTCAAATACATAATAAATACATTCAATACATATTTTGACAGTCATTTTACCTAACAAATTCTTCACTGGGGTAGAATTCTCTCCTATGAGTTCATCTTTTCAAGATTTACTTTATGCCAGTGAGCCCAGAGCACCATAGTCAGCTTTACATGTTAGAGAACAAGTTATGTATACACATTCTTAGCAAAATGCCCTGAAAATACTGTCCATAAAGATTATGAAATTTTGCTCATAACACGAAAAACCCTTTCCTTTAAAGGAGACTAGTGCCCTTTCATGTGACATATATGATTGTAAAGGAAAACATGTCTTTAATATACTATTCAATAATAATCTGAGAAGGTAAGCATTCATTGGGCCGCATGAAGCGTGATCTGGAATGAAATCCCAATGTGCTACCAACTAGTTCTATAACCTGCAAATCATAAACAACAAGAATTCCTGTACTGGATCAGTCCTTTCGATACAATTAAGGGGACCTGTAAACTTAGATGGGAAAAACTTAATATCTCTTTGCACTAACCACTAATTGAAATTTGGCATTTCGTATAGGCAACAAAAAACAATAGCATCAGCAGTATTAGAAGCTTTGATTCAAACAGAAATCAGAGATATTTGCCCTATCAAATCATAATACTTCAAAACCATAGTACTAAACCTCCTACTAGAATATTTATCAGTAAGGCACAAATAGTACTATAATATCATTTCTTAAATGTTCAACTTAATTTCAATAATTTGGTTTCTTTTGTATTTTATTTTTAAGCCCTTAAAACATAATTCTGGTAAGTACTTACTTCTTACACTTTACCAACAGCCTGCCAACAAAATCTGTGACACAAAACTGATTTAAAAACTTTTATCTATAGCTTAGGGCACAAGGATGATATACCTGAAAGGTGCACTGAAATTACCTGATAGTCCTACCCTGCCCCAGAAAAGGTTTGTATACATTTCAAAGTTAAAAATTCTTCAAAATATCACTCTATTTATTTATTTATTGAGATGGTGCCTTGCTCTGTTGTCCCAGCTGGAGTGCAGTGGCACAATCTTGGCCCACTGCAATCTCCTGCCTTAGTCTCCTGAGTAGCTGGGATTACAGGCATGTACCACCAGGTCCAGCTAATTTTCGTATTTTTAGTAGAGACAGGGTTTCACCATGTTGGCCAGGATGGTCTCAAACTCCTGACCTCAAGTGACCCACCTTGGCCTCCCAAAATGCTGAGATTACAGGCATGAGCCACTGTACCTGGCCAAAATATCACTCATTCTACTGGTCCCCTCCCCACCCTAAATCATTCTACTCTGAACCTAGTTTCTACTTCAAATTAAAGTAATCTGGCTGTAGCCAAGTTGCATTTATTTTCTATTACATTTTTTTAAGTGCGCACAGGAATATAGGCAGTGACCAATTCTTTGACTTTGTAAGCAACTAGAGGACAAAGTTTTACACTTCTCTGTCACAAAATCATTTTGCTTATTCATTTGAAATCATGGTTTTTAAACAGAAATGTACTTTGAAAAATGCTTCAGGCAAATGAGACTAACCAAATTAACAATGAGTTTAATTCCTGACTCACTGGAAGGCATGGCACCAAGAAATGTATAAATGTTTGATATATCCTTCTCAATCAGAAAAAGTATTGATATTTGAAGTTTTCATTCTAAAAAAAATTCAATAATTTCTAATTTAGGTGCCTTTGTGGCGAAGATTGCCCGGCCAAAAAATCGAGCTTTCTCAATTCGTTTTACTGACATAGCAGTAGTAGCTCACATAGATGGCAAACCTAATCTTGTCTTCCAAGTGGCCAATACCCGACCTAGCCCTCTAACCAGTGTCCGGGTCTCAGCTGTGCTCTATCAGGAAAGAGAAAATGGCAAACTCTACCAGACCAGTGTGGATTTCCACCTTGATGGCATCAGTTCTGAGGAATGTCCGTTCTTTATCTTTCCACTAACCTACTATCACTCCATTACACCGTCGAGTCCTCTGGCTACTCTGCTCCAGCATGAAAATCCTTCCCACTTTGAATTAGTTGTATTCCTTTCAGCAATGCAGGAGGGCACTGGAGAAATTTGCCAGAGGAGGACATCCTACCTACCCTCTGAGATCATGTTACATCATTGTTTTGCATCTCTGTTGACCCGAGGTTCCAAAGGTGAATATCAAATCAAGATGGAGAATTTTGACAAGACTGTCCCTGAATTTCCAACTCCTCTGCTTTCTAAAAGCCCCAACAGGACTGACCTGGATATCCGCATCAATGGACAAAGCATTGACAATTTCCAGATCTCTGAAACAGGACTGACAGAGTAAGACTTATCCATGGCTCCCTATTTTTTAATGTATTAAATACACCCAGCCAGTTATGCAGCTACTTCTTATTCACTGTATCTCATGTTTTCTTTTTTCAATGCTAATTACAGCTCTCTGATTATATCATGGTAACCATGCCTATACACCCACATAAAAATGGCTGAGCTAACAATATACAGTCTGGAAACATAACACTCTACCTTACAAAGTTTGTTACCGGCTGAAATCAATGTAACTCAACTTGTCAGACCCTTATACAGAAATGCTGCTGGTGAATTTGTAAGAATGTGGTAGGATACCAGTAACGAAGGCAAAATGGACAATCAAGTGTAACACAACCGAACTCAGAAAAATCAACCATTAACTTCTCATTTCATCTGCAAACTGAAGCAATAGTTTAGTTTCAAACCTAGCTCCCTGGATGAAATGACAACTTCACAATACTTAGTGAACATCCTTTAAAAGCTGGGATTTTTTTAAAGAAAACAAAGATCATTCATTTGGTTCTTTATACTATGAAACTTGAGTAAGTATTACCTCCTTAATTTTTAACAACTAAGAACAAAAATGAATGAGAAAAACATCAGAGTACAGATTTATATATAAATCTAAAAGCATTTAAACATGACAGCCAAACACATACATATGTTCATATATTTGCAGCAGAAGGTGATCAGATAAGACAAGCTCCACGCCAAATGGAACCTGCAGGGTAGTATTTTGTATTGCAAGGAGATGCAAAATTTACTTTAAAATTTTTCTCCATAATAATCAAATAGTGGTTTTCTAAATGACTTCTAGCAACCTAAGTAAAAACATTCCCCTCCAATGTATGATTCATTTGATCATATAAATCATCATGATGGCTCTAAATAATTCATAAATACAAAAATATATTTAAGTCTTTATAGATATAAAGCTTTGTTAGACATAACTTGCGTAGGGAAAAAAATCTACAATAGATAAAGCAAAAGATAATTAGGCAACAGAGCATTTTCAAACCCAAATTCCTGTTTCCAACTTCAAATAGTTTTTTCTATAAACACAAAATGAGTGTTTATTCACCAGTAGGAGGCTGGACTAGATGAACTCTATTATTTCTTTCCAAATCTAATACTCCATAAAAAGTATGCTTCCTCTGTTTCATTTTTATCTTTTCTATGCTAAAATGAACCCTTTTCCTTATGTCTAGTTTAAGATGACCATTTGCATGATTTTCATTTCAATTAAAAAAAAAAAAAAGAGAAACCGTCCTTAAGCGAAACAATAACCAAAAAAGTCACCCTATCAGGTTTTAAACAGATTTGTGGCTGTTCTTTTCTGAAATTTCCCTTATTCAGGTTTCTGTGGGAAAAATGAAAGATTTACCTTCCCCACTGGTGATGACCTAGGCAGGAATCATCTCTTGAAATAAATACTAGCTGAGTAAAGGCAAGCAGGTGTGAAGAGCAGGGCACAGCAGCAAGTCACATTTTTCTACTATTTGAGCAAAAGGAAAAGAAAATAAAGAAGAACTCTGGAGTGGTTTAAGACTGATAATAGTAGAAGAATATCAAGAACACAGAAACTTAATTATTGTGAACTTTTGCTGTTTGAAAATCTTAAACATTCATTCTTAAGTAGTAATTAGACCAACAGATTTTCCCAACCCAAGACTACAGTAACACAGAAAGACAGCAACAATTCTTATTTCTATTATCAACAAGATTCACCTAACCTGTGAAAATAAAGTAGTATTGAAGACTTACATGGTATGTTTTTTCCTAAAAGTACTGCATCACCTACACAGACCACAATCTCACTAGTTAAGTGAAGCTACCCAAAGTGACACAAGTGAGTAAGTAAAACCTCAGAACTAAGATTCCATTCAAGTCAGATGAATTTCGTATTATACTTACTGTTTATACATAAACTTGGCATTTGAAAGCCAAATATGACTTCCCCTACACATGCCAAAAAAAAACTGTTGGTAACCTACTGTTACTTAGGAAGTATTTAATAAATCTATAAGAAACATGATTCGAAACTTTTTTGTAGGAGACAGAAAGCTTCTGAGAGAACTGTTCATGTTTCTTTCACTTATTTAAAATCATAGTTTCGAGATTAAGGATTAAGTTTTCTATAGAAAGACCATTATCTTCTTTCCATTTGAGGAAAATGAAGTAAAAATGGAAGAAAGGGGGAAATCACTGGGAGGCAGGAATGGCTGCTCTGCCTTCCTGGATGTACAGCTCAGTAACCTGGACTACCTGGGAGCTTGGTCTTGGAGTCAAGGATACATGACCAGGAAGATTACTCTGGAACTAACTTTAAACATTCCTTTGGAAACTGAAAAACACAGCGTGACAGTTCCAACAAACTGGAGACATGTAGTTACCAAAAACTTAACTAGGGGCCTAGTTTTATGTACGTACAAGCCCATACTACCAAGTACCAAAAGAGTCTATAACCAAAAATCGCTATGTCTATTAACAAGTATTTCATACCAAAATACAAATTCGTATTGCACTGGGCTGAGCATACTGCATCATCTGGATTATTTTTAAATAATCCTTTCATTTCACCCTTACAGAATCATACCACAAGATGGGCACCAGAACTGATCTCACCCTGTGCACAGTCAATTCCTACTGAATAGGAATCGCAATTCTAGTATCAGAGACCTTTTTCCACCTTCACATTCTCCTTTGGTTGTTCAGAGGGGTTATACATGCTTCTTACCCAGATGTCTATAATTCTACCCATTTCTCTCTTCATATAAGAAGGAAATACATGGTAAGCATCATTCCTAATTTAAAAAGAACAGATTATCTTGGAACCTTCAGTACCTGAACTGTCTTAACGTGATGTCATAGGACATCACACAATATACTCACATTGATCTCATGCTGATCAATATATATTGGTGTTTTCGAACAAACTAATTTATTATTGCTACTCTTGGAGAGTGTAAGATATAACTATGAACAATGTTTTTTAAAGATCTACATTATTGTTAACAAAAGTGGATTACTTCCAAAAAGTACAAGCTCAGAATCCTTAGCACAGTTAACCTGAAGTGAGCATCTTTTCAAAAAGCATTCAACGAAAGTCACTACAACATGTTAGAATACATATATGCGGAAATTACCATATTTTAGTATACTAGCATTTATAATATATAGTAGTAGACAAACTAGTAGTTAGTATCCTTAAATATTCTGAGATACTTCATTTGAGTTTAGTTTTATGGAATGTGCCTTTTCAAATATATACCAATGGGATGTAAAGAAAAGAACCTTTACCTTTAATAGAGGGTAGCTAGAAAAATTACCCTCACTGGATTAATGTGGTTAAAATATGAAAACCACAAATAACAATGACTAAACTTGAGTATTCCAAACCACCAAAGTGTAAATATGTGTGAATAGTTAAAATCAAGTTATTCTTATTCTAGCAACTCACTACTTTCCCAAGGCAACGCATGCCATTTTCAGATAACTCTAATTATTAGATCTCTTAAGATTGTGTCCAATACCTGCCTCCTTGAACCTTCCATTTAGCCCCTTCCTGCCCTTTAGACTCATACAGATCAAATCTAAGTCCTCTCTCACATGATTAGTAAGCAGGTATTGGTAGACAGTAACCCTATAAACCCTGCTCCCCACTCTGCCCTGTCCTCCGTCTTATCTCCTATCCAAACAGCTTCTTCTCCTTCACAAAGTCCCCATCACAAGGCTCCAAATGTCTTGGCCCTCCTATTCCAACATGTGGACCCTTTCAAGGTGTGGTCCCAGGAGTGAACACAATGCTTAGTCTTGCCTGTGACAACATAAAAGGCCTATCACCTGATTCAGTCCATAGCTGAGAGGACATAAGGACACTGCTAATTGACATGAAGCCCAGAGTCACTCAGAGGATTGTGTCCTTAACACAGGAGGCTGCTTTTACATACAGCCACTTCTTACTTTAAATTCTATAATTTCCTATGTAAGACTTTTCATTCCTGCTGTTAAACTCTCCATTTGATTAGATTTGATCTCTTGATTCACCTTGATTCTGATCTCATATCCTAACTGTTCCACTCCATTGCTATCCCTCACAATATTGAATGATCTGAAAATCTGATCAGCACACCAACAATATCCTCTAAAAAAGTATTTCGCACCTAGCACATTAAGTTGGAATTCAGTAGGTGTTGAATGAATAAATGAGTTCATATGCTCTCATTTACAGTACCCTGCCTTATCCAGTTTTGCTTTTTAGTTTCAGTTAACTATGGTCAGTCATGATCCAAAAATATTATAGTACTTTGAGAAAGAGATAGAGACCACATTTACAGAACAGTTTCTTTTTCTTTCTTTTTTTTGGAAATGGAGTTTTGCTCTGTCACCCAGGCTAGAGTGCAGTGGCACAATTTTGGCTCACTGCAGCCTCTATCTCCCGGGTTCAAGTCTCAGCCTCCCAAGTAGCTAAGATTACAGTTGCTAACCACCACACCTACTTTTTTTTTTTTGTATTTTTAGTAGAGTAAGGATTTCACTATGTTGGCCAAGATGCTCTCAAACTCCTGACCTCAAGTGATCCACCCACCTCAGCCTCCCAAAGTTCTGGAATTACAGGTGTGAGCCACTGCACCCAGCCTTACATAACTTTTACTACTGTATACTGTTATAATTGTTCCATTCTATTATTAGTTATTACTGTTGTCTCTTACTGTGCCTAATTTATAAATTAAACTTTATCATAGGTCTATATGTATAGGAAAAAACAGTATTTATGGGATTTAGTATTATCTGTGATTTCAGGCATCCACTGGGGGGGTCTTGAAATGCATCTCCCACAAATAAAGGAGAAGGGCTACTATAATCCTAAAAATTCTGTAAAGCATTATCACTCATTTTATTATGATACTAACGATGTCTGAGAGCTCAGAATAATCAGGATCTTCTGACTGCAAATCCTGTAACTACTGCTCATCTCCTCTATACATTCATTGCAAAAGTACTAAATCAGACAAAGATGGGAACAAAGGTCTTGACAAGGCCCCCAAGATTTTGCTAATCTAATAGTCTACAATATGGCTAAAGCTAACAATAAACTACCCAGTCTGTTTCAAATTTCCTCATGCTACACACCTATTTTTTTTTAACTGGGTCTCACCCTGTCACCTGGGCTAGAGAGATTATATTTGAGAGATTAGATTATATTTAAATAATCTAAATTATTTAAATATAAACTATGATTAATTCATCATAAACACTGAAATCCTGTTCATTTATTATGTTCCTCTTCAGTGGCTACCTTAACTACATAATTTATCTGAGTTAATTTTTTTGTTCTCATCACAAAACAAGAAAAAAAACAAAAGACTATACAGCAAAAAGGCCAGATAAATAAAGTAGATCATGGCTCACTGCAGACTTGGCCTCCTGGGCTCAAGATATCCTCCCATTCCATCACAGCTTCCAAAACAGCTGGGGCTACAGGCACACAGCACCGTGCATGGCTAATTTTTGTACTTTTTTTGTAGAGACAGGGTTTTGCCATGTTGCCCAGGCTATCCTGCCTCGGCCTCCCAAAGTACCAGGATTACGGCCATGAGCTACCACATCGGACCTTAATGGTTTTCATTAATATAAATAAAACTATGTATTCCCAATGCCACATTCATGAGAAATTTTAGTTATTGCTATGTTTAAGCTTTTTATGGAAACAATGATACAATGCTGATTGTTATAACCACTTAGTTTTTAAAACAGCATGCAAATCAGTCTATGAATGGTATTTACACATTTAATATGTTTATAAGAAATGTTTACCACTGGCCAGGTGTGGTGGCTCACGCCTGTAATTCCAACACCTTGGGAGGCTGAGGCGGGCAGATCATGAAATCAAGAGAACAGTCCAGCCAACATAGTGAAACCCAGTCTCTACTAAAAATACCCAAATTAGCCAGGTGTGGTGGCACACGACTGTAGTCCCAGCTACTGAGGAGGCTGAGGCAGGAGAATCGCCTGAACCTGGGAGACAGAAGTTGCAGTGAGCTAAGACCATGCCACTGCACTAGCCTAGGTGACAGAGTGAGACTCCCTTTCAAAAAAAACAAAGCGGGGAAACAAAGAAAGAAATGTTTACCACTGTTGATCACAATCATGCTCTGGAGAACTTTTTTAGCACTTGTAGGATTTGGAACTTTTAACGCTAATTTTCACAGCTCCAATGGTACTATGAATTGGCATTATTTTCTCTCAGATGTAATGCCTACTGGTAGTTTGTAAGGTATTACCTTTAATCAGTTAGGAAGCTCACCTTAACAGTATAAATTATTTAAGTATAAACTATGATTAATTCATCATAAACACTGAAATCCTGTTCATTTATTATGTTCCTCTTCAGTGGCTACCTCAACTACGTAATTTATCTGAGTTAATTTTTTTTGTTCTCATCACAAAAGAAGAAAACAAAAGACTATACAGCAAAAAGGCCAGATAAAGTAGTAAAGTAAGAATATTCATAGTTTTGGCCTTTATTCTCTGATACAAAAACAAAGATTTTAGCATCTGCCCTAGTTCTTCTCACCTATGAGATGCTATCTACACTAGAAAAGAGTTAGTAGATTGTTTCCTAACTTGAATCCTCAGTTCACAAACTGACCTTAATACAGAATACATGCCTTGCAGAGAACACACAGACCTAGAAAGTAAGTCAAGTAAATCTTAATGCCTGTATTCATCATCTCCGGTTTCATTCAGTGGAGACTTGAAATAACCACGGAAGTCTCAATGCAAGAATTGCTACAGCCCCATCTACTGGAGAGGTACAGGTAACCGAGACAATTTCTAATAAGTTTCTCCTTATGTGCGTAGGTAAGAACCTTACCTACATCTTTTCGTCCTGGTTTTTCAAAACGTCTGTCACCCCTGGAAAAGATAAAATAAGTTTCAAACAAAGTTTCACAGTGACATACAGATCTCCTATCTGCAACACTCACTTTCCCATTTTTCTAAAAGCATTTTTTCTTCAAATTACAAAACAAATAAATACATAGCTATTGCCTAAAATTTGGAAAATATAGAAAAGCACAAAGATAAAAAGAAAAATATCTATCCCGTCATCTACCAAAAGCTGTTTCTATTGACCCAAAATACTATCTTTTTAATGAGATAGTATACAGTTTTATATAATACTTTTAGAATGTGTTTTTCCACATAATTAAATACTTTAAAAAACACCTCTACTGCTCATATAGTATCCTACTGTGTGGATATACAATTATATAAAGGCAACACCAATCTGTTTGTCTTATCTCCAATTATTTTTTATTATAAATATCATCACAGTGAACATTTTTATACATTTATCTTTGCACAATTGCCCTTACTCAAGTTGACAGACTTCCTATAAAGCCATAAACAATATAGAGAGAAGATACTTTTACTAACAGAATAAACAATAACATGACAATCTGGTATTTGCTATCAAATACCAAATCAAATTAAATATGCTGGCACTAGTATATTAACTCATCTATCTAGAATCCTTCTTCCTTTAAATAAGAATCATTTAAAAATTTCTAACATAGGCAGGGTGCGGTGGCTTACGCCTGAAATCCCAGCACTTTGGGGGGCTGAGGCAGGTGGATCACCTGAGGTCAGGAGTTCAAGACCAGCCTGACCAACATGGAGAAACCCTGTCTCTATTAAAAATACAAAATTAGCCAGGTGTGGAGGCACATGCCTGTAATCTCAGCTACTCGGGAGGCTGAGGCAGGAGAATTACTTGAACCTGGGAGGTGGAGGTTGCAATGAGCCGAGATCACGCCATTGCACTCCAGCCTGGGCGACAAGAGCAAAATTCTGACACACACACACACACATACACACACACACTCTAACATACAACTTGCTATTCAGTACTTAACAGCATTTTTAAAAATGAAACCCTGTAACTGTACAAAGACATTTCTCTCTGCAGAAAGCAAAAAATAAGTAAGTTTTATATGCCAATAAATTTTTATGCCAATATGTGAATCCTTTAGTTACCTTTCCTCCCAGCTCTGTGATCTATGCATTTCTCTGCCACCTCCTCGACCAAATACACCCTCTACTTCATCAAAACTTCTTTGGTAGAAACCACATTCACCTCTGCCTCTGCCTGAAAATAAGAAAACAGAAAAAAACTGAGAGTCAAATGTCAACAGGTGGCACACATTCATCACCATAAATTAATATCTAAAGTTCTATCTGTATACAAGGCAGGACATCTACATTTAAATACTGAGCGAGGCCTGATGATCTTGACTTGTGAGACCAACAATGGCACTGAAGTAGGTAGCCTATAAGAGGCTGAAAGAAACAAGTTAAAAAAACTACATAACAAAAGTTAAGAGTCCCAGTCCTGAACAAGAATATATCAACATTAAGCTCTTTAACAAAAAGTTGATTAGTGAGATTCTAAGGAGTTCAATAAAACACTACTATAAATTAAACCTTTTTTTGTTTTATTTTCATGAAAATGGAAGAAATCTTGGTTTAGAGCGTTTAAGAAGAGAGGAGCTAAAGTTAAAAAGCCAAGCATAAAAGTTAAAATAATTTATCTAACCCCAGAGAAAGGATAACTTAATAGGGTCAATTCTAAAACCATCAAATCTCATGAACGCCATAGTGTCTTCCACAGTAACCAACGGTACAGTTTATTCTATACTCAAATCTTGAGGTATTAAAAAAATGTATCAGGACTGAACCTGAATCCACAGAGCTGGTAGAGTGTGTGGATCTAGAAATTTAGAGGCTCTGGTGGTTCAAGTGTAAACCTGCTTTTACTGAAGGCAATTTGGTTAGATCTGTCAACATTTGACTCGACAATTCTACTTAGTATTTATCCTAATAGAAACAGTTTTACCAAAATGCAAATATATATGTATGAAGATGTTCACTATAATTTAAAAAAATAAAAAACAACCTAGAAATCTAATCAATAAAGGATTAGCTACATCAATTCTGATAAAACAATACAGAACACTATGAGGACACAGCAGATTACGTACTGACATTATTCTGTTCAATGACAAGAATATACTGAAGAACAATGCATATAAAAATTATTCCATTTATATAAATAACACAGCTGCACCGTTAGGGTCAGGAAGACTATAAATCCAATTGTCAGGTCTGGAGGCAGAAGACCGTATGCACTTTTAGCTTTATACTTTAAGTACAGTTTTCCTAACAAACATGTACCATTTGTATTCAATACACAGGAGGGGTGGAAGTCTAAGGATGTATTTATAACTCGGATGAAATCTTAGCCATCATACTTAGTTCAATTTTTCTCACAGTACAAAATGACCCAAAGGAAAATGATGATGGATCTTGATGATGCAGCCCAAAGCCAAATATACCCGAGCTAAATAATTACTTGGAATATCCATGCAGTATTTCTATTTCTTGCATGTAATTTATCAAGAACTCGGATGACTATATTACGAAATACCAAAATAAAAAACTGAATTATTTTGTGGGTAATCTTCGAAACAACGAATACCCTCTCGACTACTGCAAGTATCCACTTCTCCATTTGTCAATGGAAGTGAGAAGCACGTGGAACAATAATAATCTTAAAGTTACCCTTCCTTCCACTTGCATCAGCTTCACTTAAAGTCAACTCATAGTTTATGTACCTCTCCCTTTCAGGAAGTGTATACATTACATTTAATAAAATAATGTAATACAAACTGTCATATAACACCTGTCCTCTACAAGGGATTTTAGGATGGGGCAAAAGTCTCTCCTTTTAGAGAAAGCCATTTTCTCAGGAAGGCCGTCACACTTTGAAGAAAATGTTTTATTCCAGAAATACAAAAATATAAAAAATCGCCTTCAGTTTACAAAAAAAACAAGCAAAACACATAGACAACATTTCCTCAGTTATAACTAGCACTGACACAGGCCCTGCTAATACTAAAACTTCATAGTGGGACACATTACAATGATCAGGTTCTAAAGCTTTCCAACATCAAAAAATTTTAATCTTCTATAAAGCGGCTCCCATACATGAATAAGAAAGTGAATATGACATGATGAACCTTTCATAAAGCTCAATTAAAGAACTGTTCTACTGTCTGAGAGTTCCCCCTATTCTTCTTGAGAATTAAAACATACTTCCTTTTGGGCCGGGCGCGGTGGCTCATGTCTGTAATCCCAGCACTTTGGGAGGCCAAGG